CAGTGCGATCCACATTATCCTTACAGTGTTCCCTACATCACGTTTCTGTCACAAAATCACCGTTTTTATATAAAGCGTCATTCATGCATGCACCGCGGAAATCTACGCCTGACGCCAACAACCCTTTTCAGTTTGAGGCATATCGCTCATTCCACGCCACACGTTAATTTGTAGATTACGGAATGGGGACGAAAGGTGCCAAATGGCATCGGATCCATTCGACAATTGTCTGTAGATTAAAATCACGAGACACCAAGTCTACCTGTAACCTTAACCGTAATTGTCCGTGACCTATTCGACTCTTTCCGTTCATTTCCGTGACGTCACAGGAATGACTTGATAAATTTGCACAATGTGCAACAGTGTGGACGTAGCTCAGTCGGTTAGCTGTTAGCTGTCGGGCTGACAATCGAAGGTGGCGGGTTCGCGTCCGACGGGTTCTCACAAACTGGTTGCTTGTCTTCATGACACGCGACCCTCACGGCAGGGATCGTCCTCCACGAGAAGTTGTGGTGCTGTATTCTAAAGGTGGTCCAAATATAGTTTTTATCAGTCGGTAAAACATTCCATTTGTATAACAGAAGGCTCGATCTGATACTGAAAGTAACACAAATAAATCGTTTAAAACAGAATAATGTGAACGAAAATAAGAGTTATCACAGTATCAATGTCATAGCCGGTCAGATTTTACAGTGTACACCCTCTACGAACGCATCAATCCATCGCAACGCATGAATTCTATCAGTGTTTTGATGAATGAAAGTCATATTCAAATTATTGCATGCATGTGATTTCACGTTAATATATCTAGATTATAACTTACTTTGCATATTTGCTCTCCGGGGGCTTTGCATCAGTGGCAACCCGGAAGTAAATATGGCGATATTGTCAACAGCTCGCTTTTGTTCCGATGTTTTAAGGTATTCGCGATTTATTCAAAGAATTGATAAGTGATTAAAACATCTGAAAAAAACCATGTGAATTACATATATTTTATTTGACACGTACAGATAATTCTAGTCGCCCAGAATTTTTTTGACGGCGACATTTGTGCATTTTTAAAAAACTTGGTCGCCCCAATGCACAATCATTCTGGCGACCGATAGTTCCTATTACTGGTTGTTGGACCAGAATGTTGTACCTATCGGAGGTCACGTTCTCGGTGACAGTGGTTACCCCTGTAAGAAGTGGCTAATAACCCCTTCCTAAGACCACAAACAAGCTACGGAAGGTGTGTAAACTTTTACGTTAATAAAGTTGCCAGTTGTGATCATCAACAGAGAGTGGTGTCCTTGTATTAACCTTGAATAAACGGTCCATGAAGATCCGGGGTAGAATATGTCTTCAGGAACCCATGCTTGCCACAAAGGCCACTATGCTTGTCGTAGAAGAGGCGATAACGGGATCGGGTGGTCAGGCTCGCTGACTTGGTTGACAAATGTCATCGGTTCCCAATATTGGCGCAGATCGATGCTGATGTTGTTGATCAACGGCTTTTCTGGTTCAGACTTCGATTATTTACAGACCGCCCGCCATATAGCTGGAATATTGCGGAGTGCTGCGTAAAACTCACTCGAGTTGAGTTGAGTTGAGTTGGGCTTTACGTCACATCGGCATTTTTTCCAGCCATATAGTGACGAGAACAAGTCTGATTTAATTAACATTTCAAATCCAAAATCCAAATGAGTTATATTTCAAAGACATGTATATTCATCGTTTTGAACCAGGGTGTTGGGAAGCAATGTCGTTGGGAATATGGTTCAGTACCCCTTCTCCCCACCCACCATGGAGTATCAACAGAGACAATCTTATACTGAAGCGGATCTCCAGGCTGCAAAGACCGAGGATAAAGGGGTGTTATACTCCAGCGAAGTTGACACGAAAAGCTGTAGCTGTCTACCAGATCAAAGGTCAGTGATGGTTCCAATCAATTGGAGACGTACAGAAATCGGAGGTCAGCATCATCAGATTGGTCCTTGAGCTATTCACTGCCTTCTGTGCATAGGGCTCTAGACATATTCATAAGAAGTTTGTATTCTGAAAATCTCAAAAAATGGTTTTATAATATCATTTTTGGAGATAACATGCTATATGCACAGGGCATGGCGTGACCAGCCGATTGATAGAATCGGGCCTATTCTATCACCCGTCTAGGCAAAGTTAGGGTCGAATGGCGTGTTGGATTAAGGAACACTATTGCCAGTACTGTCATCCTCAACCACCAGACTCCCTTCTTCTACCGACACAGGGACGCAACCCACGGCAAACGGGTTGCCCAATTTGGTCGCCTCTTACGACCAGCAATGGGGTGCTGTGGACCTATTCGAGTCCACACGGGAGCTAAGAGCCTTACCCACCACCCACCACGAGGAGGTTGCTCTTCAGGGGTGCCTCACTCACTCGAATAAACATTTGTCAATCGTACTCATTACACATTATGGAACACAAACGTTATTACATTTAGTCTGAATAACCGAAGCGGTTACAAAATACAGTTTTCATAAAATGCGAAATTTATGTATAAAAAATACAGACAGACAATACGAAAGTAAAAAAGAGTTTTTAGACTTTTTATGAGTATGTTGAATATTACTAGATATTATTTTCCTTAAAACATAAGCCACCCAAATAATATACTGAATTATTAGTTATTTTTTAATTTTCAGAGTTATTTACTGAATGAGTGGCAGTTTACAATCACAAGACAAACAGTTTTTACTGTACTGGAGATTTATGTACAGGGCCCCTATTCTCGAAACGTTCTGTGGGCCTAAGAACTTCTAAAACCGTTCTTAGCTTACGAACTTTTTATATCCTATTCTCTAAACGTTCTTAGCCTTACGAATTTTTAATTTAAGAAAACTGAGACAGCTAGTAGGCTGTCAGAATCTTGAGATACGCATATTACAGATGGCTGCGTTGATTGTTTTATGAATGAGCAAGATTTAAAGGGTAACCGGGAGAGTTTACAGAAACCGGAGGAGATATTTGGATTTGTTGGACCGATCAAGAGTTAGTTGCGAGGTACAGGATGTCTCACGCCCGAGCGATAGAGCAACTATGTACATTGATCAGGCCCCACCTGGAGAGACAGACGCAGCCGCTCTGTGCCCCTTGATGCAGAGTTGCAGGTGCTTGTCACCCTTCGCTATCTGGGAAAGGGGCTTTTTCAGTCTGAACTAGCTGACCTGCACGGGTTTCCAGCCCGGTGGTGTCCCTGGCCCCGTTTCACGGCTAAGCGTAGGCCTAAGATCTCCTGGAACTTTTCTCGTAGCACATCTTACGATTTTTATGGGCGTTTCACGAAACTCTCGTGACGCAACTACGATACCTTAAATTTACAATAAAAATTACGGTAAGTATTTGCTCTCGCAAATAAGCTTCATTCTCGTAAGTCAAAAACAAAATGGCGTATTATATGTTGTTAAAAGAAAAACTCAGCAAGAAAAGTATTCAAAAACAGCGTGTTTTCCGGGATCGAACATTGCTACTGGACATCGTAAGTGACGACGAACTGTTTATGAACTATCGATTGGACAGGGCTAATTAATCTCACTCGTCCCTACCTTCAAAGAGACACCAAGTGTTCCGTGCCGATTTACCAGAAACCCAAGTGCTCGCTCGTCCCTACCTTCAAAGAGACACCAAGTGTTCCGTGCCGATTTACCAGAAACCCAAGTGCTCGCAACACTGCGATTTTTGTCAAAGGGAGGGTTTTATTCAGAGATTGGCCAAATGCAATGTTTTAGCATCCCAAGTGTTTCGCATATCCTGCATCCTACCACAGATGCCATTTGTCATTCGTTGGACAATATCCACTTCCCGACCTCTGTGAGTGAGCAGCTCGTTGTCAAGGAAGGTCTCATAAACTGGCTGGTTCCCCCTGAGTTCTCGGATGTATTGACGGCACGCTCATCCCTATCCAAGCTCCGACTGGTGACGAGGAACCCTCCTACGTGTGCCGGAAAGGATATCATGCAATAAATGCACAGGCTGTGTGCTATGACAAACTCAGGTACAACACTTAGAAGTTTAGTCACTCCACTTCGTCTCCCATGTTTTATCAATGTGTCAATAACGTTAGATCTATCCCCAAACAAACTGGAGTAAGTTCCCCTAGTTGTGTTTCATTTAAAAAATGGATCTCCTAAAATGAAAAAAGATTTAAAAGAAAAACACAGTAACTGATTAATGTCCTTATGTCATAGTTTCAGGTCACAGGCCCATAGAACATATTTACATACAATGTACGTAAAAACAAACTTAGACTTCCTATATACATTTGCAAATACACAATGAAGCTTCTGATGAAGAAATTAAGCAGTCATCACTTGAGTGACTGTCATTGCATGGAAAATAAATTTAGAACATTGCATAAGAATGTATCTAGTCACCAGTACATTACAAGTTGATAAAAAAGATATAAGCAGAAATGTATTTACAGTTATATTTTATGGAAAACAATGACTGACTGACTGAGTTTGGTTTTACGCCGCTTTTAGCAATATTCCAGCAACATCACGGCGGGGGACACCAGAAATGGGCTTCACACATTGTGCCCATGTGGGGATTCGAACCCGGGTCTTCGGCGTGAAGAGCCAGCGCTTTAACCATTAGGCTACCCCACCGCCCCTGGAAAACAATGAAGTGATGCAAAATAACTAATAAGTATATACATTGAAATATGAAAAAGTAACTTTTATCTTCATAAATAAATGCTAATAACATAATGATTTAGAGTTGATGATAACATGGAAATTGTTAGTAATTGTGAAGTTACAAAACTGTTTGTAAACAGTCTGAAAAATAAAGTGACTTTTAAATGGAAATGTAAAGGACTTTTTATATTTATTTTATCAAACTACAACACTGGTCATATCCAATGAACTAACCCACAGATATGTTTAATTTCTAGATTCCTTAATGTGGTTAGTAGATGGCCTGGGGCAACTCATGATGCAACAGTGCTGTCTAGCTCTGCCGTGGGACAACTCCTGGAGAAAACCCCTGTAGATGGCTGGCTGCTAGGTGACTCAGGGTTATTAGTGTCAATACAATTTGTTTTACTCAATTGACATGCTTTCACATCCTGGATAGTTGCTATCAGTTTTAGTAATTACTAAAATGTAAGTATCCATAAGCAATTCTTCATTTATGAAAGTAACATCTCAAAGGTTTACTATAACATAGTTTGATTTAAACACTATAAAGATATGTTCTTCTTTTGTAAGTAAATACCTAAATATTAAATACTGTGTACTTTTCCATGACTGTTCTGTCAGATATCCAAGTCGTTCATGGCTCTTGACGCCCATTCTAGAGGCACACACACGCCCAGAAGAGCGATACAATAGTTGTCACTGCAGAACAAGAAATGTAGTAGAAAGGGCCTTTGGCGTTTTAAAATCAAGATTCAGGTATGAACCTTGCAAGTTTAATGAATGAACAAAAAAGTAAAATAATGAAATGAAAATTTGATTGCATTGTAATTCCTTCAACAGTTTAAAAAAAATAAAATACATTTATCTATTTATCATATTGTAATTATTATATGATTATCATATAATGTGATATGTTAAATTTAGATATATTTCTCTCTCTCTCTCTCTCACTCACACACACACACACACACATTGTTCTAAATTTGGATTTCCTAATTCCAGATGTCTACACAAGAGCACTGGCTGCCTTCCCTTCACCCCAGCAAAAAGCTCCAAAATTATAATGGCCTGCTTCAAGCTGCACAATTTTTGCCTGAGTAGAAATATGCCCTGTCTTGTAGATCATGACCTAGATGAAGATGAGAATGATGATAATCATTTTCCGGATGGTTCACCACAGACTGATGGACAAACTGTTCGCAGAAATATCATTAGACATAGATTCACATAAAATGTATAAAGAATGTGCATATTTTAAAATTCCGAAATGCATATGTACAGTGTAACAATTCACAGGAAAAACAAGAGAATCTTATGATACAATACATAATACAAGTGCTATTTTGGTGTAAAATATTAGAGGAATTATATTCATTGGGATTAAAGGATGTATCTTAATAAGCTGACAAATGGGAAATCAGCCCAAAATAACCAACATCTTATATTATCAAATTACTGCTATTTTACTTGAAAGGTACATACACATCAAGTGGTGATAATGGTTCTGTTCTCTGGCAATACATATCCATTAATGATCTTTTAGGCCTGACCAGTTTTACTTCTTGTTTTACGGTTCAGCTGTTCATTTTTTTTTTCTAGAATGAGAAAAGAAAGTAAATATTAATTTCCCTCTCTCAAAAAAATTATATCATATTGAATTTATTGGCCAAAAATGTAAACTTACCAGAAAATTCTTTTTAGATTCTATTTTGCCCTATATACACTTTATAAATTGCCAAAAGTAAAATACTTTAAGCATGTAGAAGGAGTATTATTTTTATTTAATTTTATAATTTTTCCCTCCTGCCTTTAGGTTTTCTGAGGACAAAAATCCGTAAAACAATAAATGAAATTGGTCTGGTCTTACAATTAGTTACCATTGACAGGCCACCTAGTATAGGGTTCAGTCCATTCAAAATTTGATTACAGGGTCAATACTTAAAACTGAATCAAACTCCATTCTCCTTTTCTTTATTTCCAACTTCTCTCTTTCAATGACGTTCCGTTCCTCCATTGCCTGAGCTATTCTTCTCAACGCTTCTAACTTTTCTTTTTCAATTTTGACAATATTCAGAATGTCGTCGTCAGATGGATCATCAGCCACTGTAATTAAGAAATGCCTGGCATCAATTATCAAATCCTAAAATTACCGTTGAAAAACATTTTCAATAACATTGCATCAATTGGATCAGTATGATGAAATTGATGGATGCATGATAATGACTTGCCAGTATGATGTTTCCTTTTTGTCTGCTTGAACGGTGGCTTTACTGCAATGTTGGGAGGTGATATTACACTGTGCAATGATGATATCAAATCTGTTGACAAAATTTAATAGAACATTACATTGCAATTTTGCAATAAAAAGTCAATTGAAAACCTAGCTTCATCCTCACAAGAATGTAACAGCTGTCAACATTTAACATTCAACAATTGTCTATAGAGAGAGAGAGAGTTGGTTAATGATATCACTATGAAATAGCAGATAAATCATTGAAAACATATATTGCTATTAGGCAAATAACAAGCGTCCTGTTCAGTTTGTTTCGTGTATGATATATATATAGGTGAACAAACCTTCACATGAAGAGCTTCCCGCTAGGGTATCAGGGACACACTTGTTGCCGGTGTCCACTGAGACCTCGGTCACTGGTGGAGACTGAGTGGTCACACATGACTCTGTTGGACCTGTAATGACATTAATTACATTAATTACATCTGTTGAAATTTTAGTATCGGTCTAAAAATCAAACAATTGCTTTTAATTTATTCTCAAATGGTTTTATTGAATAGAAAAAAATCTTTTTATATCTGAGATATACTGTATTTATGTTAATACTGCTTCTTAAGTTCTTACTTGTTTCAAAGTATTCAGACTCCATTCCACCTTCAATACCCTCTAACAGGCAAGTGGGTATGAGACTTGCTACCTATTAAGAAAAATGTGATGTTTGAAACATTATATTGTCTGTTTTGTATTTTCAACAATTAACCAATCTAATTACGAATAATTTACTTCACACCACCAGGGTATAGATTTAAAATCTTAGTAAGCGTGATTCATAATTTCTTTCTATGAAGAGAAGTTGTCAGAGAATCTATTTTCAGCACATTTTGAGCTAAGTAGTGAATGTTTCTCATACCCTTTCTTCCACATCTGACAATGGTTGAGGGCTTGGACCGCCATCAGTTTTCTTCATCTCCCTCCTTCTCATCATTTCCTTTTTGTAACTAAGGACCTGGGAGAATTCAAAATCTTGGATTAAGGTTCACATATTAGCTTTTAATTTATTCAGATTGAGTTTTTGGGTAGAACAAGTACAATATTTATCCAGAGGTAAAAACAACAGTGTGTAAATGATCATGACACATTCCAACAAACTCACATGATATTTCAGACAAATTTATGAAATTTTGATAATACATTACTGTATTATCAACATACTGTATTCTAATAAGAATACATGTATGTTAACTACTTAATATTTATATTTCCTCTTTCAAGGCATATACGTTATACCATGTATATTAGTTTACCCTGTGAAATAACTGGTAGCAAGGTTTTTGTACATAACATATAAATTAATTACTTGTATTTAGTGAGGGAAAAAAGTATGTTACAAATTGTAATGCAGATTAACTAAACTTGTCCTAAAGCTTTGATCAAATTGTTATTGATGTTGAATTTTGTGTTATTGGCAAACAAATTTACTCATAAAAAATAATTTACGCTTCCATGGTGAAAATAAATAACTAAAACTTTAGGTTCAGTTTTGAAAGATCAATGTTTCCTCACCTGAAGTCAGTCCGTTTCTTAGGGACCTCGTCCCCATCCCTCCTAGAATTAGCATTTGCATTGATCCTATTAACAAAAACATGTTCATAATACAATGAAAGATGATATCTTTTTTGTAATATTAACACAAGTGGTTTGAAATTATGTTGATAAATTCTCAAATGTACATAATATACCGACACCATCCCCATTTTGTATCTAAGGACGTTTGTCAAAGTATTACATCATTTGCTTTTATGACACTTGTTACACATAAACATTAAGGAGTGTGTTTATTCGTTGTGGTTTTTTTAGCATTGCGTTTAAATTTAATTAAGCTGAAATCAGAAGAAGCCTACGAACGAAAGATCGACTCCATCATCACTTACTTTTCAGCGATCTCATTCCAGAGACGCTTTTTGCCAGCAGCTGTGATGACTGCTGAAAATCTACCAAACCGATAGCTGCTGTTGTGGGCCACTTCGGACGTTAAAATGTCCAATTCAAAGGACGAGAAATTCGTTTTTCTCACCCTTCCCTTTGACTTCAAGTACTCCATTGTACGGCGGGTTGTCGTCTGTTTACACAAAGGGACGTAACTCGCAATCCATGTTCTTTTCATGTCTTCTCAGCAAAAGAGTTGGCAATACGATAGCTAAAAGTTACCGTAAGTGTTCTCGTAACAACGAGAGTACTAAGATACTTTCGTGAAACTCCCTTAGCGTGGTATCGTAAGATATATCGTAGGTGTTATGAGATCTTAGGCCTACGAGAGCTTTGTGAAACGGGGCCCAGCACCACAACTTCTCGTGAGGACGATCTCTGCCGTAGGTCACGTCTCATTAAAACAACCAGTTTGTGAGAACCCGTTGGACGCGAACCCTATTGTTAGCTCGACAGCTAATCGCATTTAGCGCTAACCGCTAAATTGTGTTATTGTTGGCGTCGCCATACCACGTGCCTTTGTTTATAAACATGACTGAGAGGGTACGTAAGTCCCAAAAACTTTCAAAGCAAATATAGGCTTGCCACATTTTTAATCGTAGAATATGTGTGCTTTTAATTTATGGCTAGATTTCTCTTCTGTCGCCAATGGCTGAAGGGATGATGTAAATCCAACTAGGGTCCATGCAGGTAGCGAAAGTAATGTAAGTCCCCATGGTTCCTAGTATGGTGATCTATCTTCAGTTGTTGGCGATCTATAGCCCGTTTTTATATTGTATTGTCTTCTTTAATTGGAATGTTTTAGCTTTGTTCACTAGTTTTATATTCATATCTGTGATTATCTAGTATTTTTGCTGTCCTTCGTCGGCAGGTTTTTATAATATCTATATATATTCTATTTCAATGTCAAATGTTCTCGTCACGATATGGCTGAAATATTGCCGATGTGACGTTAAATAATAACTAACTAACTCACTATAAACATGACCTTGGCACGCGCAGCTGCAAACATTACGTCAACACATGACGTCATCAGTTGCTACGTCATCCCACCACGCGACAGATAGCGATTGAGTTACCTCACTTTTTAGCGTCACCACCGAACTCGCGGTCTCCAACATTTTAGGGGCGCGTTTAGCCTACAACTAGACGGGCCCATTTGCCTAGACCAGCTTCTGCAATTCATAGGCTACATGTCAATTCAAGGTAAATCACCTCGTACTGTAAGGGCCTACATTTTAGCCTTATCCACCTGGCATAAACTAAATAACTTTATCAATCACTGTGAACATGTCTTGGTTAGAAAAGCCATCATCGGAATGCACAAGATTAAAGTTAAACGGGACATACGAAAGCCCATCATTTTTCCAATTCTTCAGCGAATCGTCAATGCTTCGGCTGTTATCTGCAGCTCTTTTGACGAAGCTCAGATGCATTTATCTAACCCTTTTTGGTTTCCTTAGGGTCAGCGAGTTTGTTTGCAGTTCACAGGCCTATGATTCAAAAACTTCACTGCAAATTAATGATGTTTCACTTTCCGACCGGGGATTAACATTGCACATAAGGTTTTCGAAAACTGACCAGTTCGAATTCAGTAGAGGAACAGTGCTTTCAATTTCTCAGAACTATGCCCTGTTAGCGCGCTCGCTGGGTATCTCACGTCCAGACCATGCACTACCTCACAGCTTTTTGTCCATTTTGATGGCTCCTCATTAAAGCGCTATCAATTTCAGGCAATTCTCACTAAATTAAGCTATCACATGTCGGTTATGACGTGACCCAGTATACCTCACATTCTTTCAGAATAGGCGCTGCTACAACTGTGACGATTTATAGTTTGGATGAAAGTATAATTCAGCATTATGGTAGATGGTCATCATACCAAGGCTATATTAGGTTCTTATAAAATACTCACAAATAATTAACTTAATCTAGTTAATATTTACTAGCTTGGCTTAGCTTAGCAATTTTTTCTGCTGTCCGATCTATGTTACAGATGTGGCCTGGGTAATTGGCGACAGCTACATGGCCAGAGCGAGGGAAGCTTGGAGCAACATTTTACAGCGTCTTGGCTACGATGGCATGTCCGAGGCGGGAGGCGATGGCGCCACTTCCGATCTTCCCTTAACAATCTCTTGGCTTCTGCGGGTAACACCATTCCCAAATGGCTCGTGATCAATTTAGGTTTAAACGACATGTGCCAAATGTCCGCCAGGTGCATGTACGACGACATCCTATACGATTTGCTGTATGCCAAGCTACGTCTGCCGGACACCAGGTTGGTGTGGTCGTTCATGTTGCCACGTGTTGTGTGGCCGTCGGCTGGGAACATTAAAAAGCTTGAACTTTCTTGCAAAAAGCTAAAGCGAAGACTGGCTAACAGAATTGAAGAGCTATATGAGATCAGCGTCCGCCACGATCAGACTGATCCAGTTAAATGTAGCTGGGAACATTATTTGGCTGACGTGGTGCACCTGTCACTCAGTGCAATGCACTCTTTCGTGCACAATAGTATCAATGCCTTTACTGCCAACTAACTCAGATAATGCTAAAATAACGGCAATAAGTGAGCACACGCTTTTCATAATTTTTGCGCTAATTTTGGGTTGTTTCTGCTGTTTGTTCTACCCACTGTTTTTTAATACCTATATCGTGCTGTGGCCGGCGATTTGTATCGCGGTGGCCTGTTTGAGGTGAGAAGTTCTCAATCACTATGCTGCTGGTTGTCCGCTTTCACTCTCGCGAAACCAATAATCATAATTCCAGCCTGCTTTATAGTAGGTGGAATTCATTCGCTCGCAGTGCTCACCTCGTCTGCTTGGTCACAACGGAGAGGTGATTGTGTAATATGCTCTCGCTGCTACTTCGCCTCACCCCTGTATAGACATCCACACATATTGGCCACCACTTCCCAAAACAAATATCTTCCTTTTCATTTATAACGCTAGTACAGCAATAATCGCATTTAGCGTTAACCGCTAAATTATTGTTATTGTTGGCGTCGCCATACCACGTCCCTTTGTTTATAAACATGACCTTGGCACGCGCAGCTGCAAACATTACGTCATCACACCACGCGACAGATACCGGTGGAGTTACCTCACTTCTCGCGTCACCACCGAACCACCTGTCGCGTACAGCTATTAATCCGCCCTCCCTCCCTTGCTCCCGTTATCTGATTGAGTGTACATTGCAGTCTAGGAATTTAATATGTATACATTGTACCTTTTATTCACTGTTCATGAATTAAAACGTCATGGTGTGTATGGCCTGTTTGAGGTGAAGTTTTCAATCGCTATGCTGCTGGTTGTCCCCTTTCACAGCGGAAACCCATAATCATAATTCCAGCCTGCTTTACAGTAGGTGGAATTCATTAAGCTCACTATGCTCACCTCGTCTGCTTGGTCACAGCGAGAGGTGATTGTGTAATATGCTCTCGCTGCTACTTCTCACCTGTATAGCCATCAACACATATTGGCCACTACTTCCCAAAACAAATATCTTCCTTTTCATTTATAACGCTAGTCCAGCAATAACGCACTGAGCTACGTCCACACTGTTGCACAATGTGCAAATTTATCGAGTCATTCCTGTGACGTCACGGAAATGAACGGAAAGAGTCGAATAGGTCACGGACAATTACGGGTAGACTTGGTCTCTTGTGAATTTAATCTACGGACAATTTCCGAATGGATCCGAAGCCATTTGGTACACTCGTCCCATTCCGTAATCTACAAGTTAACTTGTGGTGTGGAATGAGCCGATATGCCTCAAACTGAAAAGTGTTGTTGCATTTCACGGTGCATGCATGAATGACGCGCTTTTATATAAATCGGTGATTTTGTGACAGAAAAGTGATGTAGGGAACACTGTAAGGATAATGTGGATCGCACTAAGGAACGAGGGAGACATGAGCATGTGTAGTGACGGCACGAGGGTGAGTTAACCTTCCAATCATTACTGAACAAAATTTATGTTGCGTGTGAAAGAGGCTTGAGAGTGCAAATTCCAGGCCA